AAGGAAGGAAGGAAGGAAGGAAGGAAGGAAGGAAGGAAGGAAGGAAGGAAGGAGCTGCAGTATATTGTCTTCTGTTATAAATGGAGCTTGTATGATTTATACAATTTACTTTTATAAAAAAGCTTAATGTCATGAGTTTTTGTTTTTTTTTCCATTTGACCTAAAATCAATCTAGGAAATAAAAATACTTTTACATTTAAAAAAAACTGTTTCTACCTGTCTGTTTTTTAATGTTTTATTTTCTAAAATTCAAAGATGCTGTGCCAGATGAAAACATAAAGTTAAAACAGTAACCTGAAAGAAAGTCTAATTTTGTTGATCATGATTGATACGTAGAAGCAATAAAAGAGGGTAAAACATCCACAGGGGTGAATACTTTTCATAGGAACTGTACGTTAAACTGTATCCCAGGCTTTAACACCTAACGGATGTCAATCGATCAATATGATAATCCGCAGATCAGTCAAGAAGGTCAAGGTAACTCGGCTGAGATCCACAGCTCCAATAGGAGAATCTGTGCAACTACCAGTCATGCACTTCATCCGAACTTCTACCTGTAGGAGACGATGTAGAGGAAAGCAGACTTCAATTTTATGGCCCAAAAGCAAAACACTAATGAAATGCCCATAATGAAACATAGCGGTAGTAGCATCATGCTGTGGGGATGGTTTTCTTCAGCAGGGACACGGGAGCTGGTCAAAGTTAAACTGAGATGTGCCGGGCAGCACGTCCTGAACGGACGAGCTCTCCACCCAATCTTTGATTATTTTGGTAAGGCCTTCTGCATCTGGTTGCATAGATTCCTTAACTAATATTGTCAAACCAGTAAGATAAAAACATCTCTTTCTTATTTCACTGAAACAGATCCAAGAATTCAAACAATCTTTTTGTTGACCCTCACTCCCAAAACCTTCACAGCGCAGCAGAGTTGCAAGAGTGAATTAGCTGCACTTCCGTCCCCATTGTGCCCCCAGACTGGGCACATCTTTCTCTTCATATGCACATGTAGAAGTGTTTTTTCTCTAAAAGACATTCTCCAGCACCGTTGCAACTGCTATTGTTATTTACGTCTTGGCCAGTATCCTGGGAAGCTGTGGCGTGGGGGAGGTGACCAGCTACCCAGATAAGAGTGGGAGCAACGCCGAGTTTGGGTTTGTGTTTCCTGAGAGTTGAAGGAGTTTGTTGTTCTTCGACTCTCGTGATGGCCACTGTTTCCGCGAGGTCCCAACCTTTGCAAAACCGCTTGTACATCTACAAAGGCCTACCATGCAACTCGCTGATGGCTGGTGAGTGTTTTTATCTTTGCTGATTTT